ACGCTAATTTGATCAAAATAATTTCTGTTTTTTTTTCTTCATATGTTATTGAGGGGCCAAAGAAAGACTTCAGACTAAAAAAAATCCAATATTCTTCCTACTTTTCTTGGATCAGGCTTTAAAGGGTTAAAGACTGAACATTTCTTTTATTTAAAAAAAATCTTTGATGCTATCATTTCTGTTTTTTTTTCTTCATATTTTGTTGAGGGGCCAAAGAAAGACTTCAGACTAAAAAAAATCCAATATTCTTCCTACTTTTCTTGGATCGGGCTTTGAAGGGTTAAATTCAAAATGAACTTTTAAAGTGGTTCAAATGGACCCAAAACCAACAAGAGTGTTAAAAACATACCAAGAAATTTCACTGAAACTGGCATTTTACACCCATTTTCCAAATTTTCTGCACCTTTTTGTCGCTCAGGCCGGAAACGGTGTCGATGTACTGCTCCTGGATCATGAAGGCGGCCAGGTTGGCCGTGTAGGAGGCCAGGAAGATGACGGCGAAAAAAGCCCACACCAGAACCATGATCTTGCTGGTGGTTCCCTTCGGGTTCTCGATGGGGACCGAGTTGTTGAAGACGATGCCCCACAGGAGCCACACCGACTTCCCGATGGTGAAGGTGGGACCTCCCGGATCTGGAAGGACGAGAGTGGACTCGTCACGTCTGGGGGAATGTCTGGTGTCTCGTCATGTCTTGATTACCTATTGCAGTGTTTTTCAACCTTTTTTGAGCCAAGGTACAGTTTTTCATTGAAAAAATCTCGAGGCACACCACCAACCAAAAATGTTAAACAAATCTGTAGCCGCCTATAGGAACACTATAGTGATTCTTATCTTATTCTTATCTTAAGTGTCTTGAATAGGAATCAAATAAACACAAACATTTATTTTTATCATATTTTATATTTCTTCTTTCAAATTGCACTTAACATGTCCACTTCAACATGCTAAATTAAATACAAAATCTAGTCATAAGGAATTATTACATGATTACTCCACCAGTCACTAGAACAGCACAGACACTCAAAAATGGCAGATTATTTGCAGGTAATTAATTCCTTATCAAAAATATTTTTTAGCCCAATTAGGTGAAATAGGATGATTTTCTACAGCACACCTGATGATCACTCGCGGCACACTGGTGTACCGAGGCACAGTGGTTGAAAAACACTGACCTATTGTGTACACCTGGGGTTCCCCTCCCTCATGTGTTTAAATAGTCCTCGTTTCCCATGTCCTGTGCCAGTGTGTTTTCGTCTTTCTGTTTTCGTCACCCCACGCCACGTAAGGTTTTGATTATTTGCCATAGCCATGTTTTGCCACAGCCTTGCCACAGTTTTGTTAATCTTTATTTTGTTACTTTGCCATAGCCTTGTTTACTCCTTG